GGGGGGGGGGGGGGGGGAGAGAAAGAGAGCAAAGACACAGTTTGCTGAAACAGTTCAGTCATTCCCAAGAATAAGGTCAAGGGAAAGTATAGTGGCTTGCCTGCATTAAAACATTCCTGCAATCTTTTCTTTATAAAGTTATGGCATCCCCATACTTTGAAGCACAGATCTGAATGTTCATAAAGATAGCCTGCATCAGGGACATGCCTTTGACTGCTGGTGAAAACAATCAGTCCACCTATAGTTAAATTACAAGCATTAAAAAAAAAAATGCAGCTCACATGTTCATCAGAAACCTGTAGAAATTTTGAGACTTAAATCAGCAAACATTGCACATAAGCTCCTGTCCGACGGAGCAAGACTTGGTCTGGATGACTGCAAGTCAGGACTTGGTTCTTGCACGACAAAACAAAAAGCAGAGAATGTCTCCCTCAATGTCATCAAGAACCACCAGCCCCTCAGCTGAAGCGTGAAGAGAGCTGCCTGATCCAAATGCAAAGGAGGCAAGAGCCAGCCCTGAAAAAATGTCACAGGAGTATGGTGGGCATCGGCGATACATACAGGGCACACATGTACCCCCTGAGATTGGCTGTGCAACGCCTGGAAGTGCCAGCTGCAAAACCGGAAGTGCCAGCAGAAGTGCACTTTCGGTTTCACCAGTTTCGCCATTGGTGGTTCCACGCTAGGCAATCAGCTGCTGGGGGACCCCTGCCCGCCCCCAGTTGGCCACTGGGGCCCCCTCCAGACTCGGGAGGCACCAGTTGCTCATGATGGTGGGACAAGAAGCCTGGGTATGGAGACTAGAAGCCATGTAGCGGAGACTGAGACTGGCTGTTTAAGGAGAATGAAACCCAGGAAGTTTCCCATCCCCCTCTGATGCTGGGTCCATATAAAGAGCACAACAACCTACTATTGCCATCAATTACTCTGTTAGCTCCAGTGGCAGAAGCCTGTGTGGTAGATCTAAAGATTCCAACTCCATTAATGGCCTATGTTTTTTCACTTTGCTTTTTAAAAATAACCATTTTGTGTAATTGACTAGAAGAACAGTAAGATTTCAAAGTCAAGCACTGAAAAGTTAGGACACACTATAATTAATTTGGGTTGTATTGAATTCTTATCTTTTGAGTGTTTGATTTTGCAAATTGTAAAAATGTTCGTTTGAAAGAGGGGCAAGGGCACGTCTATTCATATATTCTGAAGCAAGAATCAGTTAAAATAAAGTTAATGATGACAAAAAGAATGGATCTGCAGACATTAATGGTTTTAATAGCTCCTACCCTTTCTGCATAATTTTTTAACTTGCTTCTATACCTACTATTTGTATTCTATTAAAAAAGTAAATAGTTATATCTTGATTAAACAAAGAAGTTGGGATTAGACCATCATCTATATGTATTTGAAGAGTGTAAATACGCAAGAGGCAGAGGAACAGGTAAAAATCAGTGGGATAAAATTAAACAAAGGAAAAAATGAGGATGGAAAGCAGGTATCCTACCAATGAGATCTAATAATTAGCTAATGAGTCTCCCGAGGGAACTGGTGAAACCCCCGTTACTTCCGTTGCTTAAAATTACACCAGACAAAGAAAATTAAGATTACTATAGGTAGTCATCTTACACCAGGAAATGATGAAACTTCATTAGCTGTGCCTCAAAAATTTTTCCTTATCTTACACTCTAAAGGAACACAGGAACTACCTGACTGGACCTGCTGCTGGTCCACCAGTATCAGTATCTTGTTTCCTATGGCTAACAATTCCAGATACTTACAAAGAAGGGTCAAGAAACTTATTGGTGGGCAAACTGGGCTAATCAGTCTGCAAGAGAAAAGATTTCCTAACCCCTGTCTACTAGAGTTTGGCTTATTTCTCAAAACACGCAATTTTGTAATATTAATCCTTACAATATTTCTAAGGCCAAAAAAGCCAAGTAAGTAGTTAGCAGAAAACTCTGACTGAATTCTGCATTCACCTCCCCCATCAATATCAGTGGACACAAGGTCCACATTTACCACCAGAATCAGGATATCTTGCACACCAATACCCATTCCAGTTTATAGAAGCATTTCTGAGCATGGGAAATGTTAGGCTATTGTGCTAAAAGAAGCGTGTTCACTTAAGAACAAACGTTGATAATATTTAAATAGTTAACAAACTATGTGATATTTTTATTTTAAATGTCAACTGGAGACATTTTAAAAGTACAAGGTGGCACAGAGCTGAACTCCTACTTTTACTTTGTGCATTAGAGGATTAGAATTACAGGTTTCCCTTGATTTATGAGGTGCACGCATTCCTTGAAAACTGCGCATAAATTGAATCTGCATAAAAGAAACCCAGTTTACAATGTAAGAAATAGGGATATGTTCCCACGGCAGTGAGAGAGGGAGGAAGTAAAGCTGGGACTAGGGAAGGGACGGGCACGTGGGGTGTGGTGCAGCCCATCAGCCACTCCCAGAGGAGCTGCAGCAGACAGCAAAGCACAGGAAACTGTCAGTGGGTGTGGGGCATGGGCGGGGGGGGCACATCTCTTGCTACTACACGCATCCCAGGAGCGCTGCAGGCTGAGGGGCTTCGCCAGGCTCTTCCCAGGGGGCACGTGCCCCCAGATCTGCGCACAGGATGAGAACAGGCTGCTGCTGCAGGCTGGGGCCGCTGGCATCACCAGGCTCTTCCTAGTGCTCAGGGCAGACGGTGGTGCGGGGGGGGGGGATGACTGCTGCCACCCCAAAATTCAGCATAGCCCCCACAACCTGCCCTTCCAGCACTGTCACCAAGTGCCAGGAAGAGCCTGGTGCCACTGCCAGCCCTAGCTCAGAGAAGCAGCCTACTCCTGTCCTGCATACAGATCCGGGGACATGCACTCCTCGGGAGGAGCCCGGTGCAGCCCCCCAGCCCTCCTGGGGTGCACGTACCAGCAAGAGCTGTGCCCCACCCCCACCCAGCACCCACTTACAGTTCCCTCCGCTTTGCTCCCTGCTGCAGCCCCGGGCCTCCACTTCTCCGCACTCACCCCAGCTCCTGCTACAGCTGCTCTGGGAGCAGCCGACAACAGTTGCCTACAACCACTATGCTGAACCATGCCCCGAACCCCCCAGGGCTCCGCTTGTCCCCATTCACCTCAGCTCCTGCTGCAGCAGACCCAGGAGCAGCCAACAGCACCTGTCTGCACCACAGAACGGCGCAGCCGGGGTGAGTGGGGACAAGCAGAGCCCCAGGGGTGTTGGGGCACAACGCAGCCCAGCGGCTGCAGGCAGCTGGCATCAGCCACTCCCAGAGCAGCTGTAGCAGGGGCTCAGGTGAGCAGGGCCATGGCCCCACAGCCCTTTCCTCTCTCCACTTACCTGCTTCAGGTGGGGCACCTATGCCAATCGCATAAGAGTGAATTTACCTCACATATAACAAGTTTTGGGTATAAAAAGGGTCATTGCATAAAAGCAAATTCATATATAAAGCACCCAAATAAATTGAGGGAAACCTGTAAGTCATGACAAATGGTTAAAGCTTAATAACAAGACATGGAAAGCCAACTTGTAGTGATGAAAATAATCGTTCACATTTTCTGAGCCAAGATTTAATAAGACAAATGACCCAGAGCAGTTATCGCTTTGCTTATTTACATTGTTATGTTATTATCCAAAAAGCACTAAATAGGACCATATAAAATTAAGAGGCACACTGATAAATTTACTCTCTGTTAAAACACATAATGGAGATAGCTGATGTATTTAGAGATTGTCTCTTCAATAAAAGCACTGCAGTCTAAAAGGGGGCCAGTACAAGCCCTAGTTCCCTTAAACATTTTTTTCAGCTCTTGGCCCATGATCACTTTACAGTTACCTCATTTTTATTAGCAGGTTAGATACCATTAACGTTTGATGCGGTAACAACAATGTGCAAAAACACACAAGCAGTACTTTGTTTACATCAACAATACAATGACAAACTGCATCATTAACTGGGGACTAGTTTGTTTTGTTTAGATAATCAAAAACAGTAGAAAAAACAGATTCTACAAAGGAGAGATGGAAGTTTCTTTTAAGCTAAACAGAAGTGCTGGTCAGGCTGCAGCTGGGGTACTGCGTCCAGTTCTGGGTGCCGCACTTCAAGAGGGATATGGCTAACCTTGAGGGGGTCCACAGGAAGGCCACTCACATGTTCAGGGGGCAGCAGGCCAGGCCCTACAAAGATAAACTAAAGGGCCTGAATCTATTCAGCCAATGCAAGAGAAGACTGAGAGGGGAACTGGTGGCCGTCTATAAACTCACCAGGGGAAACCAGCAGAAAATAGGTGAGGCACCATAACAAGAAATAAACGGCCACAAATTGATTGAGAGCAGGTTTAGACTTGATAATCGGGGGCATTACTTTATGGTTAGG